TTTTCAACTTTACCAACCAAATCACTGATAGTATCTAACATGCATTCTTTTATATGGTTCCACTGCACTTCAGCATTTCCGCTTTCACCTTCAATTGCACCGAGTTTCTCTTCTAGGGTCTCCTGCATGCTTTGTCTTTGGCATCGACATGTCATTATATAAATATATATATGAGGCCTTTGTCTTGCTTACTTTTGGAAGGAAGCTTTGAAAGGAGCGAATTCCTCAGCAGAAGTAATTTGGTATTTGTTCAGACACATGGTTTTAGGAAGGGGTCCTAGATATATAGGTACTCTGGAGAAGCCTGTCCCAGAAGGTGAATGTGACATGTAGTCATCATATATATATATATATATGTGTGTGTGTGTGTGTCTACATACATATATAAACTTGATTTCGCGTAGCTTGTATAGAACAAAATTCTGGATTTCCTGTACTCTGCCGAGAATTCAAAGCAGATACGTACTGAATACATGACATGAACAGAATCCTATATCCTTCATGTCTTCGAATGTGAAATGTTAAGAAAATGAAGAATGGATGGTGGAGGGAGAAAGAGAAAATAAAGAAAACAAGAGAGAATTATTGTAAGCTACTTCAAGTTCATTCGTTTAGGTCACTCCATCAGAGTTAAACATGGTAATTAAATGTGACATGAATTATTTCATGACCTGGAGATTTCATTAAGTCTGTTTCTCCCGTTCCTAATCTCTGGGCCAAATCTGACTTCATAGGATTTGAAGTTCTCACAGCGGTGCTACATGTTATTTGATCTTAAAAGAAATGTATAGACTGCTATAACCTCAAACAAGGCTTGCAGCAGCAGCAGCAGACTAGGGGAGAGGGTGGAGGGAGGGTTGTGCACTTGCACCTGAGTTTGACGCTTGCTCTGCTTAGTTCGCTGTCACTTCATTTGTTTCTATACAATAGCTCAGTGGTGGTTGGTTCATTAGACCACCCTCAACACTACCTCTTATTGGCCTACTTTCCTTATTTTGAAAAAAATGAAAGTAAGCATGTGATCTCCATGCTGTGTGTTATCCCCTCCCCAATCAATATATGAATGGCTGAAACCAGGTATGCATATCATGGCACCTGAGCTCATTTCAGTGGCATACTTCATAAATCCCTCCCATCAGTCTGTGTCCCCCTCCTATCATTTCTAGTTTATTTATTTATTTATGATTTATTAAATGAAGCCATGAGTAACTCAGAATTTTTAGCATCAAATGATTGAATGATACTTATTTGCAATGATCACAGGTGCCAAACCGGCATTTGCATGGAGGGGAAATCCAAGAAAAATGTCTTTCAGTATAAGCAATATTCTGGTCCCAATTCTAACCAAGCAACTTCCCAAATAAAAATCAGAAGTGTTACTGACTGAGCCGCCTTGCCTGAATCCTCACTTCAACTAGACCATCAGTAATGAAAGAAAGATTGCCTAATAAATTTCCGTGTTAATTATAAGAACATAAAGCTATTCAAATATATTACAAAACAGATACATATTACTAATGCATCTCTGAACATTCGTGAACTAATCATCAGGGCATGAAAGTGTATAGAGCATGTAAAGGCAAAATCCCATTCATTCTCCATCATAGCACACACGTATTACGGTTGAGTGGTCAGCTTCAGGCTCCAGTCCTTCATCTCCAGCGAAATATGTTTGTTTGTTTATTCTATTATTTTATGGCGCTGTGGTCTAGTTACTTGCCATCCTCCTATGTTTTGCACAATATTTTTGCAGGATGATTGTGAATGATTTGTATGAGAGTATGTTGTATGGCCGTGACCTCATGGACACGAAGCAAGCCTGATAACTACTACACCCAGTACCCATTCGACAATAGCTGGGCACAGTGATTACAGATGTCCTTTACCTACAGCAAGGCTTGAATACTGGCAGGCCTGCCAGTTGTTACGGAAAGTTCCATCTGTCGACTAGTAAATGGACGGAGATCTCTAATTTGAACTTATGCAAGGAGATGATTTGTTTCACCATTTTCCTCAGTTCCTTCAGGCAGTACTAGGAGTTACAATTTTAAATGGGCCACACTCACTTCCACTTGTTTTAAATTAACCAGTCCTACAAACAACCTAACCTAGACAACATACTCAGAAATGTTTTATTAAGTAACTTTGGCATGAGTCATGAGATCAAGCACTGCTTGGCCTCATGTTCCCAGCAGGGAGTGAGAGGCGTGTGCTAATTATGACTTATTATTTGAAAGTGATAGCTGGACACCAGATTGGGGTGCAGACTTTTATGTGCCCATTAGATTAGTGGCCAATTTAACACCGTGACAAGTACCTGAAGGTGAGTACAGAAGGAGTTTAATTACTTCTGGTAGCATGGCCCAATATTTTAACAATCATAACATTTAGAACCACATTAATATTTCTCCCATCCTCCTCTAGATCTTCCAATATCTTACCTTCCATTCAGTTTTCCTACAAAACCCTGTATCTCTAATTTCTTCCATCCAAGCTACATTCGCAGTCCATCATAAGGTACAAAACCTAGACAATCCGTAATATCCTTCGCCCGCTCGAATGCTGGGGTCATGGGTTCGAATCCCACTCGAGGCATCACTGCTGTCTGTTTATTCTGTGTTGTCCTGTTCAGGTGGCGACCTTGCGATGGGCTGATCCCCTGTCCAAGGAGTCCTACCACCTGTCTAAAGATTAAGAAACTGAAGTGAAATGAAGTGTTTCATTGATGCCCTATGCTCCAAAGGGAGTAACAGGAATATGAATGAATGAATGAATGACGAAATCAACAACTCTTCAACTGTCCGTTTTAATGTTACCTTCTGAGTCTCCCTATTGTCCTTTCTTCGACAAAAAATTTGAACGATAGTTTTGTATACATTAATTTACTGTGCAAGAGTGCTACGTACTCTGCCTGTTTCTCCATATTTAATTGCGTTGTTCTAACGCCATCTCTATCAGTAACATGACTGGCCATTTGAGTAGAAGACCGGGGTCCGATCACCAGCAGAAAAGGGATCAGAGGATGTGAAAATGAGTACTGTGAGGTTCTTTCTTAGAGGGGCTTATCACTCTTCTTCATGTACTTCGAGAATGACCTCCACGCCACTATACACGTCCAGAGCGCACAACTTACGACGCGGAAGTAAATTTATCGTTATTTTCATTTTTAACGTTCAGCTCAAGAACTTAATGAAAGAATCGCCAAATGATACATCTGTCATTATCTTACTCTTTTATCCCTCCTCCTTCGAAAATTCCCCTCGCCATTTTGTTTTCAAACGCCTGTGTTCTTCACTCAGGGTGAGAAACGATATTTTATAATCAAACAGTGATTAGCCAATGCTATCATTTTATATTTATTTAATTTTAAAATCCGAAACAGACGAGGTTTCGCCAAAAATTTAGAGAAGATTCTATGCGTAATATTGTTAATTCGATCCTCGAATGTCATCTGTGAAACATTTGACACAATCCGTTACTGTATGTATTACAGGTGGACTATCAATAAGACTGACATCTTAGAATTGCCTCTGTGTCCTTCAGACACTTCGGGCAGGTCAGGGAGCTGTTGCTCGTGGGGCAGGGAAGGTGTGATAAGCCATCAATATCATGGTAACTTATGGGTCAAGTAGAGAGAGTGCTCTGTGCCTTGGACTCCCGAAATCATCACACTGCTCTGCCTCCCTACTCTCTTTCAAACTCGCATCACCTACCAGTCCAGAGGTCATAAGTTGTCTGTTTGCAGCGATGACAGGCATTATCCGAGCTACCCCGACCGTTCCCGAGGTACCCTAGCGTAACATAACAAAATACAACGTGCCCGGCTCAAGCAGCACAAACCGAAAAAGTAGACTTCATCAGATTATCCGACCCAACTTTACTTTATTGACATATAGAGTACATACCATCTTGGCAGTCTCAACCATTATGATTTGGAAGCAACACTAGCGCCTTTTTAAGCCTAACGCAGACCCTAGTAGCTGCAATTGTGTCAAGTGATAATTAATTTACTTAGTTATTAATGTCACGAAGCAGCGTCATTCTTGGGAAGTTAAGCAAGGAATTCATATCGCTCTTGGAATTCTGTCCTAAGCCAGGTGACTTCAATCCACACTCTTCTACACTATTTCTTTAATATTCATTTTAATATTAACCTCCATCTATGCCTAGTCCTCGGTGGCCCTTTTCTTTCAAGTTTTGGATTAAAACGTTGCATATCACTCCCATACGTCCGGTCCAGCTTATTGTCCTTGATATTATCGCCTTAATAACATTTGCTGAAGAGTACAAATTAGGTAGATCCTCATTATGTAATTTTTTCATGTTCCGGTCAATTCGTTTCTCTTCTGTCCAAATACTAAAGCTAATTTTGTAGAGAACAGTGATTAGTGAAACTGGTCTGACGCCCACGTTACGTTCGACGTGTCCATATTTGCTGTAGGGCGCGTGAATATGTAGCAAGTCTAACCTACCACACCCGTTGTTGAATTGTCATGCGCACCGACTTTTTTTTTCTTTGTCCATTTATATTTGATAGATTGTCATTTTCAGAGCACCTATAAAATCGCTTCAGGAAGTACGTTCTAGCCTTGAAAATCGTGATCTCTTCCAGCTAACATTTAAAACACAACGCCAGTTGTACCACTACCTGCAGTCTGTTGCGTTAGGAAATCACTACTTTTAGAATTCTCTCTAATCACCCATTAAGAGACGGGAAGTCTGAAACCGTTTGTCACTTCTTGCTGACTGACTATGACGACTACAAAAGATGGTTGGCTACTAGAATCCTTCAGCGGAATGTGGTTCAGAGAAACGGGAGTCAAAGTTTCAAACAGAATTCTCAATAGAATGCAAGGTATGTTGCTTAGAATTACTGTAATTTAAATATTAACAGGGGAAGAAGTGTGTATTCGAAGCTAAAGTAGGTCTATGCATAATTCTGCAAGTACGTTATTTGGAACACTGCATATTTCGTTGGTACTGGTAGTCTATTACAATGAATAGAATCTCACATTATTAGCGTGTTCCTTGTTTGTCATTAAATATACACAGTATTAAGAAATGTTTGACATGAAAGTTACTGATCCTAACTAAGCCTCTATTTTGTGTTATGCGTTCATGTAAAAACGACAAGCTGCATTCTGAAAACTTATTTTAAGCTAAATGCACGGGCTGATAATAATTTCATAATTTTATACCGTAGCTTCATCCTGTTGTGTAATTATTTATTAACTAACCACGAAGTCTCTATTACACATTGGACAGTGAATTAATCAGTTCATAGCACGATATGTTTCGACCATTATGTGTTCATTCTCAAGTTCATGTGGTGTGCTCTATTCTATCTGCTCTGGAGCTCAACAAAGAATACCAAATATTATAATATAGTTCTGAACTGAATATACATTTTAATAGCGATTTTGGGGTTTCTATCATAATTTCAAATTTAATATTAATTTTAAAGTAATGTCCCATTTAATTTAGAATCACAATATGAATAACAGTGCTTAAATTCCCAGAACAGAACATACATTACATGCAATCGGCGAAGTTAGTGCTAACTTTAGCGGATAGATGGGTGTCGCGTGGTATGCGCAACGGATCTCCACGACCATTAATCTCGGGTTTCTAGACCGGAGCCGTTATTTCCTTGAAATTGCTCCTCAATTATCCGAATCCTACCATTTAAAGAATAACTTCACCTTATAATATTTTATGTAAGCTTCCAATACCAAATTTAATTGAAATCAATCTAGTGATTTCGAAATCAAAACTTGCATACAGACAGAAAAGGTCTGTCCAAAAAGACACATGAACGGACGTAAGAAAGGCAGACGGACACGACTTTTCGAAAGAATGCATAAGAGAAAATCAATCAACGGGAACTTTATAATTAACCTTCCTATACTGCTCTAAAGTATAATTAGAATCAAGTCAAGGAGGATGAGGTGGGCAGGGCATGTAGCACGAATGGGGGGGGAGAGGAGGAATGCGTATAGGATATTGGTGGGAAAGCCAGAAGGAAAGAGACCACTGGGAAGACCAAGGCGTAGGTGGGTGGACAATATTAAAATGGATCTTAGAGAGATAGGATGGGATGGTATGGATTGGATTGATCTGGATCAGGATAGGGCTCTTGTGAACACGGTAATGAACCTTCGGGTTCCATAAAATGCTGGGATTTTCTTGAGCAACTGCAGAATTGGCGGGCTCCTCCAGAAGGGCTCAGCTCCATGAGTAAGTAAGCAAGTAAGTAATACTGCTCTAATGCCCTATATATATGCGTGTGAATGTGTTAAGTAATCATGCTACATTTGAAACCGTAACGCAAATTTTGCCTTTCTAGCAATGCCTTGCTAGCTTTGCTTCACTTAACAGATAGTTCACATGAACTAATTATCACTAAATGTTAGTATCACGTCTGTATAATACGTTCTTCGCAGGAAATGCATAATCTGAACACAATAACAGATCTCTTTATTCGTATGATTCATCTACAGAAAAGAAGAACGCGTAAGTACGTCCTCTGGATAGCATCGAAAAAGTGCGTTTCCTTTACGCATACTCCTGTTTGCTGCCTAGGGTTATTCAATGCGTTGTAAATCGACTGGAGATAAGCTACCCGTATATGTTTTTTTTTTATTTCTCTGCGAATTTACAATCTACTCACTACAGTAAGGAGCAATAAGTAAATTGGTTAAAAGTAGGAACGTGAGTAGAGAATCAACCAGCGTCGATGCTCTTAAACACAATTGATGCTAGAATTTATTGCTTAACCTAATTTTGTCTGTTCGGAAGGTCGGATGGCCACTGTCTCTTCAGTCTCCGTGCAACGTTGGGAGGGTTTCTTATTTCTTCAATTAATCTGTTGTCATGTCCTTGTAGTCGTTGTTTGTAGAGTAGAGCTAATCTTCGTATCTCGTCTGTTACATATGGGACTTGCAGGTCGTTGTGGAGCGTCCGATTGGAGACGTACCAGGGTGCGTTGGTGATTGTTCGTAGAACTCTGGACTGTAGCCTTTGGATGATTTTTGTATTTGATGGCTTTGCACAACCCCACAGTTGAACTCCGTATGTCCATATAGGTTTAATTATGCATTTGTACAGTATCAGTTTGTTCTTTAAGGATAATTTTGATTTACGGTTCATGAGCCATGACATTTCACGGAGTTTCATGTTCATTTGTTGACGTTTGGTTTTAATATGTTTTTGCCATGTTAATTTTTGGTCCAAGTGAAGTCCCAAGTATTTTACCTCGGATTGCACAGGAATTGGTGTGTTCTGGATGGAGACTTGTGGGCATGTTGTTTTCCTGGTGGTGAATGTTGTCTGAACAGATTTTGCCTGATTGATTGTGATTTTCCATGTGGCGGCCCATTGTTCAAAGAGATCTAAGTGGTTTTGTAAGTATTGTGATGCTAGTTGAGGATCTCTGCTTGTTGATAGTATGGCCGTGTCGTCGGCAAAAGCTGCTATGATTGTTTTGTCTGTGGTGGGCAGGTCTGATGTGTAAATTAGATAGAGTAATGGTCCCAGCACACTTCCCTGTGGTACGCCGGCATTCACTGAGTAATTGTTTGAGTATGTTGTATTGTATTTGACTTGAAAGTGTCTTTCTGTAATGTAAGATTTTAATAATAGGAAATATGGGGTAGGAAAAAACTTTTTGATTTTATATAGTAGACCGGAGTGCCATACTTTATCAAATGCTTGGGTTAGGTCAAGAAATGCCGCTGTGCAGAAGGATTTTTCCTCGAGACTTGCTGCGATTTTATTTACTATTCGGTTTGTTTGCTGTACTGTCGAGTGGTGTTTCCTGAATCCAAACTGGAAGTCAGGAATGATGGTTGGTAGATGTATGTCGATGCTTATTCTGGAGAGGAGTAGTTTTTCGAATAATTTTGATGGTGTTGGCAGTAGGCTGATTGGTCGATGAGAACTGACTTCGTTGATAGGTTTGCCGGGTTTAGGCACCATTATGATCTGGGCGAATTTCCATATTAGCGGAAAATATGCTAGTCTAAGCATACTATTGTAAATGGTTGTTAATAATACTAGTCATGTGAGGACAACAGTAGGTGCCTGCACAACGCTTTCGATGGCTCACTGCTATTAAATACTCGTATGTTGGCACAGATTAGGTGGCGATTTTCTAAATCTGTGAGCTTAATGCAAATGGCGCCCTAAGAACCCGGAAGAACTCCATCGGGCTGGACGACTGAGTAATCGGGGTTCGGTTTCAGTTATAGACGAGAGAATTTTCTGTTCTCTATGGTGTCCAGATCGACTCTGAAGCTCACCAAACTTCTATCTTATGAGTGCAAGTGGGGGCCCCCAGCGGGTGAAGCTGAAGGAGCATAAAGCTAACTACTCATCTTGATCCAGCGCCGGGTTTAGGAATGGGTGGAGCTAGCTATACCTGTAATCCTCAGTAGGTCTTCATGGCTTGATGCCTAGTTAAACATAGGGGCAACTTTATCGTACGGATCCCTACAATTTTATTATATGCATTTTCTGTCACAGATTGTTTTTTTTTCGCCCAAAAGTGTATTATACGATTTCGTGAAGTGGGTCTCAAACAAATAAAAGTGAATGAAGGACTGGGATTACTCGCATAATAACAACAAAATAAAATTCTGTCAAATTACTTACAAACACATAACTAACTTCATGGAGTTGATCCCTTCTTGAGAAATCGTCAGTTGTGCAGCTAATCAAGAACTTTCCAACATTTTATGGAACCCGAAGGTTTATTACCGTGTTCACAAGAGACCTCCACTGGTTCCGATCCTGAGCCAAATCAATCTAGTCCACATCACTTCGTCCTATTTCTTTAAGATCCATTTTAAGATTATACACCCACCTACATCATGGTCTTCCTAGTGGTATCTTCCTTTCTGGTTTTCCCACCAATACGCATTCCTCTTATCCCCTTTCGTACTACATGCCCTGCCCATGTCATCCTTCTTGACTTGATCATTCTAATTATGCTTGGCGAAGAGTACAAGTTATTGAAGTTCCTCATTATGCAGTTTTCTCGAACCTCCTGTCACCTCATCCCTCTTAGGTCCAAATATTCCCCTCAGCACCCTGTTCTCAAACGCCCTCAGTCTATGTTTCTCCATTAATATCAGAGACCAAGTTTCACATCCATAGAGAACCACAGGTAAAATTATAGTTTTTTATATATTATAATTTCTAGGTTTCTAGGCAGGAGATGAGAGGATAAGACGTACCAGACTGAATGGTAGCAAGCATTACCTGAATTCAATCTCCTCTTATTTTCCTCTTGAATCAAATTTTGATTTCTTACTGTCGTTGCAAAATATTTGTACTGTGCCACACTTTCAAAGGGTCTGTTACCTGCCTTTATGCCACGTCAACTAGTTTTTTTCTTTGAGGCTGGATTTGAATAATTTAATATTATTATATACATATCATTCTCCCAAGGGCTAACAGTTAAATTGTAATGCACGGAGGCACTTGAAGACATTGGCCAGTGTCCGTCCCTCTTTTATAATGTTAGGTTTCATAAAAGTGAACTTCTAGCGTTGGCAGGAGGGAGGCGGCACCTGTTCCCCTTGCGCCTCCGCAAACAAGATTTTCATCTGGCTAATGAAATACAGCGAATAAACAATTCATACGTGTATAAGTACGGCCAAACGTTAATTAGGCTTGTCAAGAAAATTACTGCATCTGCAGAAAATGCACATTTGGATTTCCGAACTGGAGTACATCTTTTTTTCTTCTTTCCTTACGTTTCAAGCTACATAGTATAATTATAATACTAATAATCTACAGTATTTGGTTCTTGGATTCTGAGAGACTGTGGAGCAATGGAACATAGCATTCCTG